GTCACCTATTCACGCAGCCTCTCCCCCCACGCGACCAATAGATTGTCCCCCTTTCTCCCATGTCTACCATCTTCTCCCATTGTTTAGTGTGCCCATTTGCCTCGCCATTCACAGCCATTGTGTGGCGCCCATCAAGCTCTCTTAGTAATGGCTGCCGTAATGGCTCGTGGCTGACTTTCTCTCACCTACACTTGAAGGGCCTGACTCAGGCCTCGTCATTCACTCAGGCCTCGTCATCTCACTCAGGCCTCGTCATCTCACTCAGGCCTCGTCATGTCACTCAGGCCTCGTCATGTCACCCAGGCCTCGTCAGCTCACTCAGGCCTCGTCAGCTCACTCAGGCCTCGTCATCTCACTCAGGCCTCGTCATCTCACTCAGGCCTCGTCATGTCACTCAGGCCTCGTCATGTCACCCAGGCCTCGTCATGTCACCCAGGCCTCGTCATGTCACTCAGGCCTCGTCATGTCACTCAGGCCTCGTCATGTCACTCAGGCCTCGTCATGTCACTCAGGCCTCGTCAGCTCACTCAGGCCTCGTCATGTCACTCAGGCCTCGTCATGTCACTCAGGCCTCGTCATGTCACTCAGGCCTCGTCATGTCACTCAGGCCTCGTCATGTCACTCAGGCCTCGTCATGTCACTCAGGCCTCGTCAGCTCACTCAGGCCTTGTCATGTCACTCAGGCCTTGTCATGTCACTCAGGCCTCGTCATGTCACTCAGGCCTCGTCATGTCACTCAGGCCTCGTCAGCTCACTCAGGCCTCGTCAGCTCACTCAGGCCTCGTCATGTCACTCAGGCCTCGTCATGTCACTCAGGCCTCGTCATGTCACTCAGGCCTCGTCATGTTACTCAGGCCTCGTCAGCTCACTCAGGCCTCGTCAGCTCACTCAGGCCTCGTCAGCTCACTCAGGCCTCGTCATATCACTCAGGCCTCGTCATGTTACTCAGGCCTCGTCAGCTCACTCAGGCCTCGTCAGCTCACTCAGGCCTCGTCAGCTCACTCAGGCCTTGTCATGTTACTCAGGCCTCGTCATGTTACTCAGGCCTCGTCAGCTCACTCAGGCCTCGTCAGCTCACTCAGGCCTCGTCAGCTCACTCAGGCCTCGTCAGCTCACTCAGGCCTCGTCAGCTCACTCAGGCCTCGTCAGCTCACTCAGGCCTCGTCAGCTCACTCAGGCCTCGTCAGCTCACTCAGGCCTCGTCATGTCACTCAGGCCTCGTCATGTTACTCAGGCCTCGTCAGCTCACTCAGGCCTCGTCAGCTCACTCAGGCCTCGTCAGCTCACTCAGGCCTCGTCATATCACTCAGGCCTCGTCATGTTACTCAGGCCTCGTCAGCTCACTCAGGCCTCGTCAGCTCACTCAGGCCTCGTCAGCTCACTCAGGCCTTGTCATGTTACTCAGGCCTCGTCATGTTACTCAGGCCTCGTCATCTCACTCAGGCCTCGTCAGCTCACTCAGGCCTCGTCAGCTCACTCAGGCCTCGTCAGCTCACTCAGGCCTCGTCAGCTCACTCAGGCCTCGTCATGTCACTCAGGCCTCGTCATGTTACTCAGGCCTCGTCAGCTCACTCAGGCCTCGTCAGCTCACTCAGGCCTCGTCAGCTCACTCAGGCCTCGTCATGTCACTCAGGCCTCGTCATGTCACTCAGGCCTTGTCATGTCACTCAGGCCTCGTCATGTTACTCAGGCCTCGTCATGTTACTCAGGCCTCGTCAGCTCACTTAGGCCTCGTCAGCTCACTCAGGCCTCGTCAGCTCACTCAGGCCTCGTCAGCTCACTCAGGCCTCGTCAGCTCACTCAGGCCTTGTCATGTCACTCAGGCCTCGTCATGTTACTCAGGCCTCGTCAGCTCACTCAGGCCTCGTCAGCTCACTCAGGCCTCGTCAGCTCACTCAGGCCTCGTCAGCTCACTCAGGCCTCGTCATGTCACTCAGGCCTCGTCAGCTCACTCAGGCCTCGTCAGCTCACTCAGGCCTCGTCAGCTCACTCAGGCCTCGTCAGCTCACTCAGGCCTCGTCATGTCACTCAGGCCTCGTCATTTCACTCAGACCTCGTCATGTCACTCAGGCCTCGTCATCTCACTCACACCCAGGCTTTATCGTCTCTCCCACGGTAGCTTTCCCCTCATTATCGCCTCATTGTCACCAGCATACCTGGTCCCGCGTGTTTACACACCTGTAGCGGCACCAAACCTGCCACCCGCCGGAAGTCTTAACGAGTCGAAACGGCTAAAAATTTACATTTAAGGGTCATACTTAAACATGAAAAGAAGATCAAGTTGCGTGAGAGGCGAGTGTCGCACCAATATTAGTCACATGACCTCTCCTCTAACCACAGTGAGGTGCGACATAATTTATCCTGTCTAACGAACTTAGTAGAGTTTTTCTATTACAGAAAATTTAGATGTATCAGGAGAGCGCGCCAAGCCATTACGACTGTATAGCACTGGGAAGGGGTCAGGATAAGGAAGAAATCCACAAGGGCCGTGATGAGGATTCGAACCTACGTCCCAGAGGATAACAGATGCGCCTTAATCGACTTTTTTTTTTTTTAATTTTGCCCCGAGGGGCGAGTTTATTGGGCAGCGCCACTCATCTTGTGAGTGGACACACCGCCATAGTGACAGTATTGGGCAGCGTCACTCATCTTGTGAGTGGACACACCGCCATAGTGACAGTACTGGGCAGCGCCACTCATCCTGTGAGTGGACACACCGCCATAGTGAGAGTATTGGGCAGCGTCACTCATCTTGTGAGTGGACACACCGCCATAGTGAGAGTATTGGGCAGCGCTACTCATCCTGTGAGTGGACACACCGCCATAGTGACAGTATTGGGCAGCGCCACTCATCCTGTGAGTGGACACACCGCCATAGTGACAGTATTGGGCAGCGTCACTCATCTTGTGAGTGGACACACCACCATAGTGACATTATTAGGCAGCGCCACTCATCTTGTGAGTGGACGCACCACCATAGTGACAGTTCTGGGCAGCGCCACTCATCTTGTGAGTGGACACACCACCATAGTGACAGTATTGGGCAGCGCCACTCATCTTGTGAGTGGACACACCACCATAGTGACAGTATTGGGCAGCGCCACTCATCTTGTGAGTGGACACACCACCATAGTGACAGTACTGGGCAGCGCCACTCATCCTGTGAGTGGACACACCGCCATAGTGACAGTATTGGGCAGCGCCACTCATCCTGTGAGTGGACACACCGCCATAGTGACAGTATTGGGCAGCGCCAGTCATCCTGTGAGTGGACACACCGCCATAGCAGCATGTACAACACTCCCCAATAGGAAGAAAACCCGCTGGGTTGTTCATCCTGTCACTTGTACCCAGACACAACTGGGACTTGCTTAACTGTCTCAAGTGAACAACTCCTCAAACAAGAAGATTAACATCTGTCAACCCTTAAAAGCTTACGTTATCTTGCGGGTGCAAAATGGGAGAATCTATTAAGAACAGTATCAATATTTGACAAATAGTGTTTACCTAACTCAAACAATGTGGGGTTTATTATTCAACACATACTTCTAATGTCTCTCAGGTGTTCACATTCACGTAGATAGTGGTCAAGGCGGTGTCCATCACTCTCACCACAGATTCTGCAACTTCGCTGATCAACTGTTGTTTCCATTCCGTATCTCCATGGATATTTGTATCCAAGACGGATTCTCGCTATTACTGATTCTCTCCCTCGTCCTCCTCCTCTTCGTCCATAATGATTGGGATTGCCAGCTGCAACCATGTTGTACCATCGTACAGATTCACTGGTTTGTGCTTCTATCCTCCTTTCCTCAGTTACCTTGTCACGGTGATGTTGCCTGACAATACCTCTAATTTGTAGGAGAGTCTTGGGTGTGAAGTATTCAATATGGTCTCCTTCAGCGCCTTCAGCAGCCAGCACATCTGCTCGTTCATTTCCACATATTCCAACATGGGAGGGGATCCACAGAAACTTGATGACTCTTCCCTGATTGGTAAGTACTCTCACAGCTCTCTTAATTTCAGCGACTATTGCAAGATTTTCTGCCCGATTTTTACTAAGGCTTTGCAGTGCTGCTTTTGAATCGGTGACAATCACTGCACCATTAGTGTTCCGTTCAAGAAACCTTAACGCCATAACAATGGCAGTTAGCTCTGCTTGCGTTGAAGAGGCATAGTTCTCAATACGCGCTTTTTCTTCATTTCTGCGTTGAAAAGTATTATCCTTAATTACCGTGTATGCTGCACCAGCCCTGCCATTGCCTCCTTAATCGACTGTGCCACGACGTGGTTAAAAAGAACTTTTAACTAAAGTTCAAAAGAAAGTAGAAAGAAAAGATTTCTCTGTGTAATGAAGTAAGGGCGAAGAGGTAGAATAACTAATTAACAGAGCCCGGGTACGTGTAGGAATTGTATAAAACCCTGGTTTGTGTCTCGGAGAGACTGCAGGATCCGTGTGGGGGCAGTAGAACTCCCGGTTGCAATTCCATTAACCATGTTGCGACACAGTCGATTAAGGCGCGTCTGGGATCCTCTCGGACGTAGGTTCGAACCCTCATGACGGCCCTAGTGGATTTATTCATTTGATGCATCACGCTATTGTGATGTCTGTGTGTCAGGATAAGGGTTTGCGATGGGACGGGGGGGGGGGGGGGGGGGGTGGAAGGAATGGTGCCCAACCACTTGGACGGTCGGGGACGGAACGCCGACCTGCGTGACGCTCTACCGTCCAGCCCAAGTGGTTGGGGCAGCAGTCATATACCGAGACTTGGATCAGTGGTTCAGCAACACACTGGAGCGTCAAGTGGAGACACAAAACAAGAAGAGAGTGAGGTACTAACCGGAGACGGTCCGCTTGGATACACACAACGGGCGGGGTGCCTCAGGGACCAGTACTCCGCCCCATCCTCTTCATCATCTTCACAACCGACTCAGACTCAACACTATTAAAAACAATCTCACAATTAGCGACATAAAGCTAGGAGAACCTCGATTATCAGGCAGGCAGCTTACGTCTTCAGAGGCACTTAGACAAAGAACACAGGGGTCAGAGGCACTTAGACAAAGAACACAGGAGTCAGAGGCACTTAGACAAAGAACACAGGGGTCAGAGGGACCCAGACAAAGAACACAGGGGTCAGAGGCACTTAGACAAAGAACACAGGGGTCAGAGGCACTTAGACAAAGAACACAGGGGTCAGAGGGATCTAGACAAAGAACACAGGGGTCAGAGGGACCCAGACAAAGAACACAGGAGTCAGAGGCACTTAGACAAAGAACACAGGGGTCAGAGGGACCCAGACAAAGAACACAGGAGTCAGAGGGATCTAGACAAAGAACACAGGGGTCAGAGGGACCCAGACAAAGAACACAGGAGTCAGAGGCACTTAGACAAAGAACACAGGGGTCAGAGGGACCCAGACAAAGAACACAGGAGTCAGAGGCACTTAGACAAAGAACACAGGGGTCAGAGGGATCTAGACAAAGAACACAGGGGTCAGAGGCACTTAGACAAAGAACACAGGGGTCAGAGGCACTTAGACAAAGAACACAGGGGTCAGAGGGACCCAGACAAAGAACACAGGGGTCAGAGGCACTTAGACAAAGAACACAGGGGTCAGAGGGATCTAGACAAAGAACACAGGGGTCAGAGGGACCCAGACAAAGAACACAGGGGTCAGAGGCACTTAGACAAAGAACACAGGGGTCAGAGGGACCCAGACAAAGAACACAGGGGTCAGAGGGATCTAGACAAAGAACACAGGGGTCAGAGGGATCTAGACAAAGAACACAGGGGTCAGAGGGACCCAGACAAAGAACACAGGGGTCAGAGGGACCCAGACAAAGAACACAGGGGTCAGAGGGACCCAGACAAAGAACACAGGGGTCAGAGGGACCCAGACATAGAACACAGGGGTCAGAGGGATGTAGACAAAGAACACAGGGGTAAGAGGGACCCAGACATAGAACACAGGGGTCAGAGGGACCCAAACAATATACTCGCCGCCAGTGACGACTTCAAGTACACACAACAGTAAGTGTTGACCGTGTTCCTGGCAAACATGTCAACACAACACCCTCAACACTCCCAATATTGACCCAGAGGTTCCCCGTTATCTGTTGACTCGGGGTACTCCGCACGCTCTCGCACTCATGCCTGCACTCTGGTGCACTCTAATAAACACCGCGCTTCAAGAGCCCTCTCGTAGTTTTTGGCTCTAGAGCTGGCACTGTTATAGTGGTGCCTTGGTGGTAGTCTGTCATTATGTGTGGGTGGAGCCACACCCTGTTGGTCCACACTCCACCCACGCTATGTGTCACCCCCGCCCACACTATCTGCCTCCCCCACCCACGCTATGTGTCACCCCCGCCCACACTATCTGCCTCCCCCACCCACACTATCTGCCACCCCCGCCCACACTATCTGCCACCCCCGCCCACACTATCTGCCACCCCCGCCCACACTATCTGCCTCCCCCACCCACACTATCTGCCACCCCCGCCCACGCTATGTGTCACCCCCGCCCACACTATCTGCCACCCCCGCCCACACTATCTGCCACCCCCGCCCACACTATCTGCCACCCCCGCCCACACTATCTGCCACCCCCGCCCACACTATCTGCCTCCCCCACCCACACTATCTGCCACCCCCACCCACACTATCTACCTCCCCCACCCACACTATCTACCTCCCCCACCCACACTATCTACCTCCCCCACCCACACTATATACCTCCCCCACCCACACTATCTACCTCCCCCACCCACACTATCTACCTCCCCCACCCACACTATCTGCCACCCCCACCCACACTATCTGCCTCCCCCACCCACACTATCTGCCACCCCCACCCACACTATCTGCCTCCCCCACCCACACTATCTGCCTCCCCCACCCACACTATCTGCCACCCCCACCCACACTATCTGCCACCCCCACCCACACTATCTGCCACCCCCACCCACACTATCTGCCTCCCCCACCCACACTATCTGCCTCCCCTACCAATTAATAGACCTACTTGACCTATAACAGCCATCCGCTCGCCAAAATTTCCACTCACCCACACCGCACTCACCCACACCGCACTCACCCACACCGCACTCACCCACACCGCACTCACCCACACCGCACTCACCCACACCGCACTCACCCACACCGCACTCACCCACACCACACAGCCACACCGCACTCAATTCCTCCCCACCACACAGCCACACTATACATATTCCGGCCCATTCTCTCTATTTGCCACTCCGTGCAAAACGGAACAGTTTGGGCAAAGTGGACAGGTACAAAGCACCACCTTAACCTCTCCAGACGAGGCGAGGGAAAACGTTAATATAACGGTGGTGTTTTTTTTCAGTAATGCGTCACATTTGTAACGGATTGGTGGATGCCTTTAAAAAGTGGTGTGTTAGGTGAGAGGACTGTGGCATAGAACCCCGGGAGTGGTCCTTGTGCCCTGCCTCACCCCACCCGCGCCTCATTCCGGTGCATCACCCCTGTGCATCACCCCCTCGCCTCACCCTTCCCCACGCACCTCACCCCGCGCCTCTGCCCAACCCCCCCCCGCGCCTCTGCCCAACCCCCCTCCGCGCCTCTGCCCAACCCCCCCGCGCCTCTGCCCAACCCCCCCGCGCCTCTGCCCAACCCCCCCGCGCCTCTGCCCAACCCCCCCGCGCCTCTGCCCAACCCCCCCGCGCCTCTGCCCAACCCCCCCGCGCCTCTGCCCAACCCCCCCGCGCCTCTGCCCAACCCCCCCGCGCCTCTCCCCAACCCCCCCGCGCCTCTCCCCAACCCCCCCCGCGCCTCTCCCCAACCCCCCCCCGCGCCTCTCCCCAACCCCCCCCCGCGCCTCTCCCCAACCCCCCCGCGCCTCTGCCCAACCCCCCCGCGCCTCTGCCCAACCCCCCCGCGCCTCTCCCCAACCCCCCGCGCCTCTCCCCAACCCCCCCGCGCCTCTCCCCAACCCCCCCGCGCCTCTCCCCAACCCCCCCGCGCCTCTCCCCAACCCCCCCGCGCCTCTCCCCAACCCCCCCGCGCCTCTCCCCAACCTCCCGCGCCTCTCCCCAACCCTCCCGCGCCTCTCCCCAACCTCCCGCGCCTCTCCCCAACCCCTTGCGCCTCACCCCCTACGCTTCACCTACACCTCAACCCCCACGCCTCACCCCCCCCCCACGCCTCACCCCCCCCCCACGCCTCACCCCCCCCCCCACGCCTCACCCCCCCCCACGCCTCACCCCCCCCCACGCCTCACCCCCCCCACGCCTCACCCCCCCCCACGCCTCACACCCCCCCCCCCCCCCCACACGCCTCATCCCAGCGCCTGACCCCCGCGCCTCATCCCAGCGCCTGACCCCCGCGTCTCATCCCAGCGCCTGACCCCCGCGCCTCATCCCAGCACCTGACCCCCGCGCCTCATCCCAGCACCTGACCCCCGCGCCTCACCCCCGCGCCTCACCCCAGCGCCTGACCCCCGCGCCTCGCCCCAGCGCCTGACCCCCGCGCCTCACCCCAGCGCCTGACCCCCGCGCCTCACCCCAGCGCCTGACCCCCGCGCCTCACCCCAGCGCCTGACCCCCGCGCCTCACCCCAGCGCCTCACCCCAGCGCCTGACCCCCGCGCCTCACCCCAGCGCCTGACCCCCGCGCCTCACCCCAGCGCCTGACCCCCGCGCCTCACCCCAGCGCCTGACCCCCGCGCCTCACCCCAGCGCCTGACCCCCGCGCCTCACCCCAGCGCCTGACCCCCGCGCCTCACCCCAGCGCCTGACCCCCGCGCCTCACCCCAGCGCCTGACCCCCGCGCCTCACCCCAGCGCCTGACCCCCGCGCCTCACGCCGCGCGTGATGGCTGCGCGATATTGCTGTGCGACACCACCAAGACGCCCTCGCCAGCTCCAAGCCTACACTCCAGGGTGAACGACTGCGGGCGTGGAGTGCCGGGCGTGGGCGGCGTGGGCGGCCAGTCACCATAACCGTGCCGTGGGAGCCGGCCAGATGGGTTAAGTGGGAAAGGTCAGCCACGCCCACACTCAAACCCAATCAGCCTCCACTTTATCTCACATGACCTAATAAGCGCCTGCAAAACTCTCTTTTTTTTCCCCACTGTGTCTCCTTGCAACATTGATAATAAAGTGCATAGTCAGGCCAGTGGTGTGTTCGAGGAGCCACTCGGCAGGTACGGTCAAGGTAAGGCTGGGGTGACGAGGCAGTCCGCTGAGCACAGTCATTAAGGAGCGGAGCATAACAGAACACTGGGGTGATTACATGACACACTGTGACCACCAGGGTGGTGGTGGTGGTGGGGGCTGGTGCAACACTCACCACCAGGGTGGTGGTGGTGGGGGCTGGTGCAACACTCGCCACCAGGGTGGTGGTGGGGGGGCTGGTGCAACACTCACCACCAGGGTGGTGGTGGGGGCTGGTGCAACACTCACCACCAGGGTGGTGGTGGGGGCTGGTGCAACACTCGCCACCAGGGTGGTGGTGGTGGGGGCTGGTGCAACACTCGCCACCAGGGTGGTGGTGGTGGGGGCTGGTGCAACTCACCACAAGGACAAACATCAACCACTCCACGCCCACTATCATGCAAGAAACTTTGCATCACCCTCACACTCTACCAATATCACCGGGGCGGCGCACTACACCAAGCCACATGTACCGCGTTCATGACATGTCACCAACGATGTCCCCCTCCGGTGGGGAGGTCACCTCCCCCACACGTGCAAGCAGTCTACACGTGCAAGCAGTCTAAATTTTTTAAAATTTTGCCCCGAGGGGCGAGTTTATTGGGCAGCGCCACTCATCTTGTGAGTGAACATACCGCCATAGCAGCATGTACAACACTCCTCAATAGGAAGAAAACCCGCTGGGTTGTTCATCCTGTCACTTGTACCCAGACACAGCTGGGACTTGCTTAACTGTCTCAAGTGAACAGCTCCTCAAACAAGAAGATTAACATCTATCAACCCTTAAAAGCTTACGTTATCTTGTGGGTGCAAAATGGGGAAATCTTTTAAGAACAGTATCAATATTTGACAAATAGTGTTTTCCTAACTCAAACAATGTGGGGTTTATTATTCTACAGTTATTCCTAATGTCTCTCAGGAGTTCACATTCACGTAGATAGTGGTCAAGGCGGTGTCCATCACTCTCACCACAGATGCTGCAACTTCGCTGATCAACTGTTGTTTCCATTCCAAATCTCCATGGATATTTGTATCCAAGACGGATTCTCGCTATTACAGATTCTCTCACTCGTCCTCCTCCTCTTCGGCCATAATGATTGGGATTGCCAGCTGCAACCATGTTGTACCATCGTACAGATTCACTGGTTTGTGCTTCTATCCTCCTTTCCTCAGTTACCTTGTCACGGTGATGTTGCCTGATAATACCTCTAATTTGTAGTTGAGTCTTGGGTATGAAGTATTCAATATGGTCTCCTTCAGCGCCTTCAGCAGCCAGCACATCTGCTCGTTCATTTCCACATATTCCAACATGGGAGGGGATCCACAGAAACTTGATGACTCTTCCCTGGTTGGTAAGTACTCTCACAGCTCTCTTGATTTCAGCGACTATTGCAAGATTTTCTGCCTGATTTTTACTTAGGCTTTGCAGTGCTGCTTTTGAATCGGTGCAAATCACTGCACCATTAGTGTTCCGTTCAAGAAACCTTAACGCCATAACAATGGCAGTTAGCTCTGCTTGCGTTGAAGAGGCATAGTTCTCAATACGTGCTTTTTCTTCATTTCTGCGTTGGAAGGTATTATCCTTGATAACCGTGTATGCTGCACCAGCCCTGCCATTGATAGGATTAGATGACCCGTCAGTGTAGATTTGATCTAGTTCATCTCCGGCTTCTTTATAAATGTCCTCGAGATACTTGTGCCTCATTTCTTGTGGTATCATGTTGGATTTTTTCATTGCCATTTCATTGATGATGATCTTACATGAGTCATCCTCCCAGGGAGGTAACCTCTCTACAGGCAGGAGCTCACGGGCTTGCTCAAGCAGGTGAAGCTCTTCAAGGT